ATGCAAGGTTAAAAAAGATAAAACAAAAAGATTTAGGATTTTGGCCTTAGCAAGATGAGGCACAAGCCGTGAGGCGAATCGAGGCCTAAGCCTTGAATCAAAAAAATAAAAAACTCATAAAATTAAACCATTCATAAATATGCTATAACAATCAAAATATTAACTTAGTCCATCATCATAAAATACAAAATCATATAATAAGAAAATGACAATAAATGTCAATCTTAAAACTTAATCTAAAGTGATAGTGTGAAAAAAGATTCACGATAAACGCTCACTTAAAATTTCAATACACCATGAGGATCAGAGTCCACATAATAATCCAAGATCTCCCTGTTGCACTTCTTGCAACTTGTAATCTCCCCACTTGCTTGCTAGTCAAATACCAACTCCCCTCTCTCGCTCTCACAATTCTAATATAAAAATTACAACCAGGATATAAGTTATAGTAGGTATATCATAACTTTTTTTATTAGGTATTAATTTGAGGGGCCACCTCCAACGCCTTGAGGCATAAAGCCACGAGGTGTATGCCTTGAACAAAAAAAGCATAAGCATTGATGCAATTTCTATGCACCTTATGGTGAGGTGAGCCTTGAGGCATGCGTCTTGAATGTCTTTTTAAACCATACTTTAATGAGTACCGTGAATCACGATCTTTGACCTTTCATTAGAAATTTCTGTTTCCATACTTCATGAAATTTTGATTTGTATTAAGATAGGACCATGTAGCACATCTTTAAAAAATCTTTGAAAAGTTGCAAACTAAGAAATTATATTTGAATGTGTTGCTTTATTACATAATATATAATATTTTTAGGATTTGTTGTGTCAACTAATATATTATTTATTGATCATGATAAGTCAAAACAATTAATAATTGACCAAAATCTACTAAGATATAAGGGATTATAAATTTTTATGATTTGGCTAATTTCTATAGATGATTCAGTAAAAAATTTAATATTGTTATGACTCTAACTTTAGATTTCCTTAAAAAATGATAATTTAAGTGGACAATATATTTTGAACATGTTTTCAATCTTAAGGAAAGAACAAATGCACCTATTAGCTTAAACTATCTAATTTTAATAAGGCGTTTAAGGTTTCTTGTGATGCGTTAGATGTAGGTATTAGGAGAATTGTGAGTTAAAATGGGCATTGGATTGTTTATCTTAGAGAGAAAATGAATGACTTAAAACTAAAATATTCAAATTATGATACAAAATTTTTATGTTGTACAATCACTTTCAAGCAAGATATAGTATTAGTTGCCCATGAAAGTTGTCTTATATTATGATCATCAAGCCTTTAAATATCAAAACTCACAAAAGAAACAAGAATATAGATATGCTAAATGAGTTAATTTTTTATGAGAATCAAATTTGTGCTAAAACACTATTTTGGAGTTGAGAATAAGCCTACAAATGCTTCAAGTGGGTAGCAATCATTTTACACACTGAGAATTAAGCTGAATGATTTTAATATCATTCAATAATGACTCATTTCTTTTTTATTAATATTTTATCATTAAAGATGGCTTTCTTTTCAAGATTACTGAACTTTGTATTCCCGATTCACCTTTGAAAATTTTTCATATTTCAGAGTCACATATTGGTGGTATTGCACAATATTTTGATTGGGATAAAATTGTGGCAAGCATAGGATAAATAGTACTAATCAAGTATAAAAAGTAATGTTACAATAATGATTTCATAATATAAAACTTGTCGAGCAAATAAAGGTAACAGAAATAATATTATTAAGCCTTACACACTTTTACCCATGCATTATAAGTTAAGGTGGGATGTTAATATGAACTTTGTGCTAGGACTCTATCTTTGTAGTGGTGATGCACATTTTAAAATAGCTCATTTCATTCCTAGCAACAATGCATATTCATAGAAAAATTATATTTTTATGAAGTGGTTGAATTGTAAGGCTTAATTTTAGTGTGTTCAAAAAGAATGTAAAATTCAAATTATTTTTAAAAAACTCCAAAAAAATAAAACTTCACAGTTATCACATACAAGATAAATAAAGACAGCATTAATATGGATATGGGTGACATATTACAATATTTGATTAAAGAGCAGACATCTAATTAGGATTTGATAATGCTTATGAATAATTTCTCTCTCAAATATCTACAAGCATAAGTCTATTTGAATTTGTTACAGGGTTTCAATATAGAAATCTAAGGATCTTATTAAACTTCCTATTAAGTCAAGGTCCAATGAGTTTGCACAAACATTCGCACAATATGTATGATTCACATTACGATTGTTGACTATTAATTATGATAATTATAAGTATATTACTAATGTGAACAACAGATATATGAATCCAAAACCTGTGAAAAGGTAATAACATGTTTGAATATAGAATGAATTTCTATAGAAACCTTTAAAAAATTAACTACAAGATGGGTGGGATCATATAAAATCAGGCAGTGCATTATGACAAACGCTTATTAATTGAAAATTCCTAAATGTTCTAGTAGAGTTCAATGTATTTAGGTTGAATTTATCTAATCAACCTGCTATTACTATCATAGAATATTCTCTCATTTCATCACCTTCTTGCAAATTCACATCCAACATTTTACCAGTTAACTCTATTCATCATATTCAAGATGTTATCTTAAATGATAAGATTGTGTCCACTGTTAATGACAAATAAAAGAGGTATCATGTGATTCAGTGTACTATGGTTATGATGATTAACGGGTTACTTTATAGAAAGGATAGAAACTATGATCAGATTATTTAACAAATATTAAATACTCAATTTGTCAGAGCTAAATTTTATCAAGCCAAATAAATTAATTCGAAAGCTTGTGGTCATGCCCATTTATAAACCTCTGATTTGGGGGGTATTGCAGCTGATTTGGAAAGGTTTGATCACATACAAGTTCTGCAAGTAGTTGTAATCAAATCCCTCTATCTCCTTATATGTTGATTATTGTATCTTGTGATTCCTAGTATTAAAGTAGAAATTGAATCTTATAATTTTGCACTGTAGCAGAATTAGGAGATTGATGATTTTGTAATATAAATGAATCTCAATTTTTTTATTCGATTAGAATACAAGTATGTTGAAACTTAAAACTATTAATTTTGCATCATTTTTATTACAAATAGCACTTGTTAGGCATGTAAAAAATTTGACAATTGCTTGATGAAATTTAGATTTCCTCTAAAGGTTGTTTAATATTGGATGCAAATTCTTCATGACCCTATTCTAATTAAATTTATATTTTTCTTACAAATAGTACTTTTTAGGATGGATGCATGAAATAACTCAAAACAAAAAATTAAAAAATGATCGTAGCAAATGAAAGATTGTGTGACATATTAAAGATAAGCATTTAAAAAAAATAAAACTTCATTGATTTGGATGTATACAAATAAAGGGTAGAAAATACACCCTAAGAAAATAAATAACATTAATTTTCAAGAATTAGAAAGAAAAATGAATAGATCTAAAATAAATACATAGAAGGGTTCAAAATGATTTATGAAGAAAAGTTTAACACCTTAGATAACACAACATAAATAAATTAATAGTGAAGATTTATAAAGCCTATCCCAAATAGTTGGGAGGGAGGGAGGGAGAAAGAAATTGATAGAGAGAGAGAGAGAGTATTATTATTATATCATTAATATGGAATCATGAATTGTGAAAATGAACCTAACTTTGTTAAAAATAAATATTACATTAAAAAAACTATACATTTCAAATAAGTAAAAATAGAATACTCCATATCACAACTGCTATGACTACTAAAACATTCTAACTAGGACCTTAAATTGTGTGAGGATGATCAATGATATCACTATTATCCTTATCCATCTATTATGGGATAGCTTAAAGCTATGTGATGAGGATTTTAACAGTTTATCCTCAAAGAGATTTCCTGTAATACACAAGAGAGCCATTTATAAATTGTGAAAATGTTTCCAGTGACTGATATAATCATATAACCATCCAGAAATGATGAATAGTGGCGGAAATTTGAAATATACTTGGATCAGACGAGTAGCACATTAGCATACTCTTAATGGCCCTATTCTAACTAAAATGGTTTGCTACAAAATGGCCCTTCAACAAGTCTTGATGTTATCAACCAAAATTTTCAATGTTGTTCCCAAGCAAAGGCAGAACAAGAATTTTAAATGAGAGGTACGAAAGGGCCTACCTCAAACTTAAGCAGAAAGGAGAGTAAAACTTCTATAATATAATTAGTTCTTGGAGAATTTAAGGTAAAACCTCGGCAAACTATATAAAGCTACATTAAATTTTCTCAAATCTAAAGGGGTCAAGAGCCAACCCCTAGCCTTGCATGAAGTGACCTCGTCAAACATGTGCAAGTAGCTTTCAGGCATATTCAATGCTTAAGAAGATAATATAGCAATTCAAATCTATTCAACTTTGACTGCACTAATTTGACAAATGACAAAAATAGAACATTTGAAATGTTCATCATTCACAAAGAGGATCATGAGAATTATAAAAAGTGTAAGGCCCAAAAATCATACACAACATGAACTTCCCCCTAGTACTAAAAGCAATGAAATGATCTTCAGTATTTTTACTAAAATAAATGCTTAGACACAATTAAATGCTGATACATTCTGGGAGATTTTGAATTGAAAGATTTATCTAGGGTTAGTTATAGGAATGCTAAGTTACATATAGGCAATAAATAACTAAACTTCTGAAAATATGATGGTGCATTCTTTGTCTAATGAGAACATACTTGGTCTAAAGTATATCAAAAAGCTGAACTTATGGATCCATAATGTGCAATTATAGCACCAGAATGATAATTATAAGTTACAATTAGAAATGCATGAGGTTACGAATAAGCATTTATCTCCACCTCCGCTAAACAATTAGAAGACAGAGATACCCAAGTACAAATTAAAACCTATGTGATTAAAGCCAATGGAAAATTGCGATCAAACTCAACAAGTAGACAATCATAGACAAAAATAGGGATTCCAATGTTATCACCCACCAAAATTTGATATATTTAGTAGCATTAAATGCAAACAAAAGAGCGGAAAAAACATTATAAAATGATAAATTCAAAGTACCGCTTCATTCCCTACATCAATCTCACCAAACCATAGGACAAAATCCAGTAAATCGACAAAGTGTGTCCCTAAATCATCTTAACCCAAAGAAAAAAAGACTTAATATGCCATAAGACCAAATGACCAATGCCTGCCAATGACATAGCCATTGAGAAAATATAAGTTTTAAAATCAGATAGGATCATACCTTCAAATTTGAACAACAATGATCAGAGGCTATAAGAGGACTAGCCCAAGCTCTGAAGGTTTTATAGCATATCTAAGCCGATAGTTATACAAGTAATAATGCAGCATTCCATCTCCGGGACCAAACTTCAGATCCTTTAGAAACGACTCATTCTCCATGACATCCAACGCATTGAATACATCATAATCCTTTTGCTTGGCCACTATAAGGGCATCATTCATCAGCTGGAGCAAAGGAGTCCTTGTTGCCACATTATAGAATGAGTACGCAGCCTTCAAAGTTGAGTAGTTGGAGTTGTTAAGTATCATAGATGGCAGAGTGTAGAAGCTACAAAAATCAGTAATCTCATGATTCTCAGGGCTCTCTACCAAGTAACTATCCACTACATTCTCTCTGGGGAGAAGCCAATGCTCCACATCCATCTCATCAAAACTAGGCGCTACAACAAACCGAGACAAATAATCCCTCAGCAGTCTCATCACTGCCGGAACGTCACGGAGCTCCATCTTTCTAAACCCAGGGGTAACAGGCAATGCCGGCAGCTTGAACAGCCTAATAGTGCGGCTCATGGTCATCCTCGCCCCAAGCCTAGAGAACCCCACATCGATGAGCTTCTTAGGATTGAGCGATCGGTGCCAGTACTGGCAGGTTGCAATCGGCGTCGGAAGGACAACTCCGGCAGTATAAGCTGCCTGCCAAATATCTTCCAAATGGATTCTCCGTGTAACCTCCTTGATAAGTACAGGCGCGAGCCGCTTAGACCTCAGCTTCTTATGAACGCAAAGGAAGTTGACCTCCGCCATCAAAACCACATCCTTACGGACGCAGATTCTCGCGGGGACACCGGTGATGAAAGCAACGAGCTTTTTGTTGGATTTGACGCGAACACCGATGTGCCATGACTTGAAGTAGCCCGGAGGGCGAAGAGCCCAGCGAAGAAATTCCTTGGAGTAGTTGAAACGGAACATGTTCTCGTCGTCTTCGACGTAGTTGCTGGTAAGGAGGTTGTAAACCTCGGTGGCTGTGGCATCGTCATCGATGTCGCAGGTCGTCCATTCGTAGAGGGAGGGGAGGTTGTATGGTTCCTTCTTTACATCCGACACGGGAGTAGGGGGCTCAATCGGGCCTTCGGGGAAAGAAGAGTCGCCGAGATCTTTGAATTGGCCCACGGGTTGGGTTTCCCAGAACCGGTGTTGCTTGGTTATGGAGAGCGATTCCTTGATTTGATGGGCAATTGCGTCAATCGACGGCGGATCAGCAACGGCCGCCGGCGAAGGGTTGGAGACAGGATGGGTCTGGTTATGGTCGTCGCCAGAGGAGCCCGAGGAGGATTCGCCGCCCTGTGCCATAAGCGAGCTCAATGGGTGGTAAGAATGAGACAGAGAAAACTGATCGCGTTAATAGCGGGTTACTAAGCTAGGGTTTCTTGAGAGGAGCCGGTCATTACATCGTGGAGACCGTTTTCGAGATTTATTGGTCTCGAAATAATACCTTGGCAGGAGATCCATCTCAGATGAAATTTTAGTTCCCATTAATAGGTTTAATCTACATGTCTTATTTTGACTTGTTGGTTGAGAATTTAGACTATCAACTAAAAGTTTTTAGGTTGAGTCTTTGTGCATATGATGAGTGCATGCATTTGTTTTAAGGGAAATTTACATACATACCACTATATTTATTACCATATACATATCTAACACCTAAAAATTTAATATTACTATTATACCACCCAAAACTCATTTTATATATCACTTCTACCACTCCGTTACTTCCCCACCTCACGCCGTACTTCTCCCCTCTTTTTACCGCAAATGTGAAAGAGCGGTGCGAGCAGCGAGTGGCGGAGATAGCGATCGGGGAGGAAGGTGAAGTTATAGCTTGCTTTTGAGATCGGAAGTAGGTATGATCCATGCCCTTTAATTCGCTTTTTTTTTGTCGAAGATCTGTGAGAGGGAATTCGGAGATCTGTAGCTTGCTTTTGAGATCTACCGCAGATCTAGCTGTTGAGAAGCAAGGAAGCAGTATTTGAAATGAAACCTTGCAGATAAAGGCAAGTTTAGATCGGAATTTTTTTGTGTTTTTTTTTTGTGCCCTTCGTTTGAAAGGAAGCAATACCTGATCCGTGCCCTTCGTTTTTTTTCTTTTTTTTTTTGTCGAAGATCTGTGAGAGGGAATTCGGAGATCTGTAGCTTGCTTTTGAGATCTACCGCAGATCTAGCTGTTGAGAAGCAAGGAAGCAGTATTTGAAATGAAACCTTGCAGATAAAGGCAAGTTTAGATCGGAATTTTTTTGTGTTTTTTTTTTTTGTGCCCTTCGTTTGAAAGGAAGCAATACCTGATCCGTGCCCTTCGTTTTTTTTTCTTTTTTTTTTCTGTGACCTTCGTTTGTTTTTTCTTTTCCTGCAATTGCCACCTATTCATAGTTATTCTTATAGTTAGAATCAGTTAAAACCTGCTCTAATGTATATTTTTCATCAATTATGCAGTTTTTATATAGGTTTTAATGAGTTCTTCGAATTCATCTGTTGTGAAGAGTCGGATGCAGCAGTCGAAGCTTCACTGCAATTGCCACCTAAAATGTGTCGTGTTTACCTGCCACCGAGGCCCCAACAGTGGAAGACAATTTTATAGGTGTGTGTATAATCAAACTGAGGATGATTGCATGTTCTTCAAATGGGTAGATGAGGAAGAAGAAGAAGAGCCTACTTACGTGACACTAATCGAATTTAAGGCCTATGATGCTAGGAATTCGAAGAAGCTCGACTTGATTCTTCGCATGATTAAAGTTTTTGTAGTGATGGTTTTTATCGACATTACTGTCCGCCTTTATTTAGGCTAGTGCCCTTTTATGTTGGAGCATATGTTATGTTAAACTTCTCATGGTTTTGTGAAACGACAAGAAAAATATGATTTTTTTTTTGGAGAAGTGATGTATTTTATCCTTCTATTGTATGGAATTAAAATATGTATTTATGAATATTGAAAGTTTATAAATCATGAGTATTTATGATGTTTTTTTGGAGAAGTGATGTATTTTATCCTTCTTAATTTTTAATCATAAATTTTTGGAGAAGTTCTTATGGCAATTCCAGCAAATTATTAAAGAAGCTATGCATTCAGCAAAGAAATAGGTGCCAGGAAGCACTTCTTGAAACAACATACACCTATGCTTTTCATCTTTTCTCACTAAGCACTTCTTGAAACAGCATATGCCAGGAAGCATATACCTATGCTTTTTCATCTTTTCAAAGAGATAGGTGCCATGAAGCATTTTACGGTGCATATACCTATGCTTCTTAAAGCTCGATGCAACAGGAACGGAATATACTTATGTCATACTCGCTGAGCTCAATTGATTACTTCATAAACAGCTATGTCATACTCGCTAAGCAAATGGAATAATAAAGAATTCTTGCAACAAGAAAAGTTATGTATTGCTTAAACTCTTGGAAGGCTACTTCACATTCCAGCATTTAGTGGAACTTCTTAATCTTGCAAAATATATAACTAAATACTTGGAAGTTTTAGGAAACCAGCACAAAATATATCAAAAAACAGCCAAAAATTACATCTGAGTTTTAGTTTTAGCATCACAAAAGAACAACCAAAAAACAGCCAAAAATTACATTCTCAAAACCCATCAACAGGTAGGCACTCAAACTCCACTCCATCGTTGATAGTCTCAGCAGTCCGTCTACTTTCCAACTTTCTACGTTTTGATAATGGGTTTTCGTGTTGTGTCATTGTATCATTGTTCTATAATGGGTTCTTGCATGTGCTCCGATGATGCCCCCATAGTGAACACCTGCTACATTTATGCACTTTATTATCTTTCTCAAGGAAATTTGGTATTCTTCTTTTTTTTGGTCTTCCTCTAGGTCTTGAAGTGTTAGGCACTCCAATATCGACCACATCTTCAACTACTTGACATTGATCTGTATCAGGTAATGTACCGATAGCTCCCTCGTATGCCATCCTGTACCTAAAACACATACGAAGTACTTATCATGCCATGGAAATGTATGCAATTCAATAGAAAGTGGGAAGTTACCTATAAACGAAATATAAATCATGAACATATATATGCCATAGTGGATGCTCCTTCATTCCAATAAAGGCTACAACGTAAATGCATGGAAGTCCTGTTATTGCCATATTCAACATGTACATTCTTTAGATTCAACATCAACAATATGTCTTGAATGCAAAGATTCTACTTCAGCCTTCGAATTAGTTGACTGGCGAACTAACATATGCTCTTTTCTTGTAGTTATTTCTCTTATGTAATCTTCTGCGTGAGGAACTAATTCATGTTGCCATGTTATGCTCGTCATCTTTCGGGCCGGCCTTTGCTCCATAAGTTTACCACGAAGTGTGTCAATTAAGTCAACAACTGGTTTGGTTCGAGCATCTACAATCCATTCATTGAATGATTCGGCACTGTTACTTGTAATAGTAGCATGGTAGATACCTAAAATGAACTAGCTTCATGACCACTTATAAGGTAAGTTTGTAAGATATGCATAGATAGTTGGGCTCATAACACTAAGTTCTGCAAGTTTTTCATTGTACTCTGTGCTAGTATATGCTCCTGCAGCTGCCCAAACCAAACCTTGAATTTTATGACTGTCTTTGCAATGAAAATTTTTTTTCAAATTCTTCCACAGATGACGAATATATATTCTATGCTCAGCTATAGGGTAAATTTCTCTTATAGCATCACCCAAACCCTTCTCCATATCTGAGATAAACGAAAGAGGCTCTATGTGTGGGCCAACACTCTCTGCCAAGTTCTGAAGAAGTCATAGCCATGTCTGTTTGGATTCAGTCTCTACGATGGCGAATGCTAATGGGAATAAACCGTTATTACCATCAAGTGAGGTAGCTGATAAAAGCATACCCAAGTGCTTTGATTTTAGATGACATGCATCCAAACTAATTAGCGGTCTACAACCATTTAAGAATCCATCTTCACAAACCTTAAAGCAAACATAAAATCTTCTAAATGAATGGTCAAGCTTATCATAAGAATATGTGATATGCGAACCTAGATTTCTATTAAGCAATTCTGCATGTAATGTTGGAACTCATTTATAATTTTCATCTATAGACCCAAATATATTGTCACGAGCATGCTCCCTAGAACTCCACAGCTTCATGTAAGGTAAAGAAAGACCATAGTCTTTCTCTAAATTGTTGTTGATGTCTTTCGGAGGAATGTCAGGATTTCTCTTAACTATTTCTTCAATTTCGTTGGCAACCCGTGCAGTTGTGGCTAGTTTATTACCAGCGCGATTGATCCCAGGACAAGTGGAACACCATAAACTCTCCTAATTTCAAAAGTTTGAGTGTATTCACACAGCGAATCTCGAATTCTCCATTCTCAACCTTCATAAGAACATGTAGCAATCACACGTGTTTTGTCACTTGCCTTTATCCTAATTCCAAAATTCTCCTTGATGGCTATCGATCGTAGAGCATGCTTGAAATGTTTGGCGTCAGGAAAAAATGTGCCAACAGCTATATCTTTATAAGATAAACTTGGAGCAATTGAAATACCTTCGTTAAAAGAACATTCAACCATCTGCTCGGAAGTCATAACTTCCCTAATATCAGAAATTGATTCTTGTCCTTCAACTTCATGTACTGAAATGACTATCTCACCATGCAAATTATTGTTGGATGCTTCTATGAACTCAGCCACCTGAACGTCACAAATTATGTCTTTATATTCCTTTGGTGATGTACCATATATATAATAATATATATTATATGGATGCCCTTTAAGCCATGGACATATTCGAAGAACCTCGCTTCTGAGAGCATAAATAGTAAGTTGACCTTTCTCAAATTTAACACTCCTTTGTTTGCCACCGTCATACCTCTTTCTATGTTGCTCACTAGTTTGAACCCATTTCCCTCCATATTTAAAAACAATATGAAAATACTCTGTCTGCTTGGAACACATCTTCACTGCTTTGGGTACACTTTCAACACCAATTTCACTCGATCGGCTAAAGCTCTAAGCTACTTCACATATCCTAAAATCAAAATCAAATGCAATTAAAATGTAATACAATAAAACTCCAAGAGTGAATCAAAAAAGCATTTGGTGGATAAATATCACCATTGGATTACATACCCACATTCAGTTATGAGCATTAAGAAATACAAAGAAAGCCACAGATAAAAGAAAGGGAAAATGTACCTTGTTCCAGCACCGACCAGCGATCACAATCCGAGCAGAGCATCAAGAAAAGGATAACGACTAGCGATCGCAAGCAGCCGGACGGACGCGACCAGCGAGCAGAAGGAAGAATACGCAAGCAACGAGCAGAGTTTTCGTTAGCAGATGGAATTCCGATCGAGCAGGTTTGTTCTCCCGATTGCAAGCAGACGAGCAGAGGATCGCGATCAGCCGGACGCGAGCAGTGAGTAGAAGGAAGAATACGCGAGCAATGA